CCCTTATCAGAGGCATTGCTTGCAAATATATTTTCCCATTTAGATGGTTGTCTCTTTACCTTGTTGACAATTTCTTTTGCTGAGCACAAGCTTTTCAGTTTGATGTAGTCCCATTCATTTATTTTTGCTTTTACTTCCCTTGCCTTGGAGATCAAGTTCATAAAATCTTCTTTAAGTCTAAGGTCCTTGAGTTTGAGAAATTATCTTAATCAAAAATTTAAAAGGATTATAAACTGGCTTAACTGTGGGGCCAGTTTTTGAGAAACCAGAGGTAATGCTAATATTAAAAGAGATCAAATAAGTAATGAGACAGAAAGTAAGCTACAAGAATAAATATACATAGATAAATGGAAGGAAGAGGGAAAAAATGAAATAAGGAGGTTGAAGAATCTGAGATAAATTTCAAGATGTTCAATAACAACATGTCACAAAAACAGGCCCACATTTTCAGAAAACTTAACCCACTAAAGGAATACAATATATGCTGCTTTTACAAGTCTGACTCTGGAAAATGAGATTAATTTCATTAAAATAAACATACAGTTTTTAAATTAATAAGTTATTAACAATTGCAAAGATCTTAAATAAATGTATTATACTGCACAAAGTGGAGATTGCTCACATATTAGGCGCATCTTCCTGGAGAAACTTGGTGTTAGAGGGGTTTAATGATTTACTCAGAGTTAAATGGGCAGAGATGACTCCAGACAGTGTGCTCTTAACCACTAAACTGTGCTTCTCCAAAGAGTTTTGGCATGCAAAATGTTTTATTTAATTGAATTATCTATAGATTTCATTAACTGAGAAAAAAGGACATCCTATTGTGTCCCTGATTATGCTTGATCTATTTCTTTTTAAGACCCAGTTTAGAATCTATTCCTGGTAAACAAAATTCTCACAATTCGATCGCCGAAAGAAGTCTATTCAAAAACATTATATGTTCTATGGGGCCATTACATCTTTTATATTATAAAGTTTACCCAGGAGGAAAACATGCAAATAAACATTAAAGCACAGGTGAGAATTTTTTGTTTATAAAAAACACTCTGATGAATCACCTGGAAAAAACCACCCTGAAGACATGGCTTGAGGAGAGTAAGAGTCAAGGAATTAGTGGGGATGAAGTGGCAGGTTAAAAGGCAGGCCTACTCTGGTGATGATTCTTGCAACATAAGTAGCCAAAATCCTTAAGAAAAGTAATAACTGATATTCAATTTCCTATTTTCTATCCAGTCCTGTACTGAAATATAATTTACTGTCCCACCCTACCCCTTATGCATAGCCTGTTGTCCCTAAATCTTCACTAAAGTTTGCTACAGAGTGGTCAGAATAGGATGCTGCAGGATGTGAAAGGCACTGCATAGCTAAGGGATGGATTATTTTTGGAAGAAATTGGAACTAGAATTGACGAGGGGAAATGTAACATCAAGAAAACCATCAGGCATGTATCTTTCCTTTCTTCTACAAACTTGGGGTAAGCAAATATTTGATGAGTACAAGTTTTTTATAGGTATAATCTAACTAAAAAAGGAAAGATAGAATATCTTTTTACAAAGAATCTAGGTAATTATCATTAATGGCTGTTAACATGGTATGAAGAGATTGTGAAAAATGACACAACTTAGCATAGTTAGGTAATTTTCCTGATAACCCCTTGCCACCACCTAAAGGAAAGTAACTTCACACTAATCATCTCACACTTTTGCCCAGCATAATTTCCTTGTTTCTTCTCCCTTCTCTCTAATAAGTCTTTCATTTTGTACAGCTCCTCAGAACTCTTTTCTACTCACTAGATTGGATGCTGCCTGATTTTTGTTCAAATAAATTCTTAAGATTTTTAATAGGCCTCAGTTTAAGAGTTCTGATGCTGGAAGAGGAAACTGAGGGTGACTCACGAAAGCACCCCTTCTAAGAGCAATGAGCAACCAGGCATAGGTACCTGTTGAGCCCCTTGAGCTCACTGCTCTCTTGGTATCTCTGGAGGTGGTGGGGTAAGTCTCTTTCAGAGTCTAGCTCTGCAGTTTTTGCATTATGAGCTTTCACACTTTATTTGAGCTTTTAGCTGAAGAGCGCGCTGATATAAAGAAGCAATTTGAGGATAACATGGCTGGATGGATGTATCAGCCTTATGATACCCTTCAGATTGCTACCCAGTTCTTTGAGGAACTAAAAATTGTGCTTGTCTTACAAATTGAGAACAGAAGTGCAGCTCTAGAAACAAGCTCGCCTATTCTTTTTATCAGTCCCAAAACTTTCCTTTTTTATTACAAAAAGTTTGCAGATATTGTAAAAGATCTAGATTTGGGGAACAAAAGTTGGTTTTGGTGGAACTTGCATTCTTTCTCTTGACTATTGAGATATAAGAAACACTAGATCCAACTGTTCTTTTAAAGCAAGTGAGTTTTACATTATCCTATCTCTCATAGCTAAAACATTAAAATGAAAGCTGTGATATCTGTTTGTATATAATATCTATATGTTTATGCACATCTACGTATGTATGTTATACATGTGTGATTTAATTCTATCTTTGGATGATATTGCAAAAATTCATTTGTAAAGAGTT